TCCTATAGATTACATTGTGACAATAAAGGACTTCTCAGAAGACTGGGATATGTACAGCATACAGACAGAAAGTAAAGCATCTGACCAGGTATTGGAAACTGAGGTGTCTCTCACCCCCCCAGTTCTTTAAAGCTCATGACTCCCTTCCTCAGAGCCATGGACTAAGGCGTATAGATAAAGTACTGAAAATACCACAGTGACACACTCTGCCCTCCATCAATGTGTAATTCTAAATTTGAAAAAAAAAAACCAAAAACAGCTATGTAAGGAAGTCCAAAAATTCCCAATACTGTCAATGATAAAATCCTCAGTGCTTTTCTTGAAATGTCCAATTATTTCCACGACAAGTTTGAACCCATTTTTAGGGCCCCTTGTTTGCGGGCTACCTGTGGATAGCAAACAAGGGGCACTCATCAGTTAAGTATTCCAACGCTAATTTTTCCATTTGTCCTTCTGCCTTCTTAACAAGAGGTTTAAGATACCAGAGGCCTCCCTTTTGTCAGTCCTGCCTCTTGGTGACAGCGTACATTGTCACAATCAAAATTCTAAATCCTTGCATTTATGAGAGTAGCTTCTAGAACACAAAAAGTTTTCATTATAGCAGCAGAAACCTCCAGTGAAGGCGTCCTAACTTTGGCTCCAAAGCCCTATATCACCACTCCCCGTAGGAGACAGTCTGGCCCAGGTCTAAGCTGTGAGGACTCCTTTTTGCCCCAGTTACTTCAAGGCTGCAATAGAAACTGTTGAAAGGCAGGCCTCATAGGCACGTTTCCTTGACCAAGCCTTGATCGCACATGGACATCTAAAGGTAGGCCCCTTCCCTGTGGGTGTCGACCTGGTTACTGAGAGCTTCATTTGTCTCTCTATAGCATAAAAATATCAAGTACAAATTGGTTTTTACAAGATAGTCACGGGAATGTAAAGTACAACATAGGCAAGATAGTCAATGATATTATAATAACTTTATAAGGTGTCAGGTGGATACTAGACTTATCGGAGGATCACTTTGTAAATTATGTCTGTGCCCTGGCCAGTTTTGCTCAGTGGTTAGCTCATCGGCCTGCGGACTGAAGGTCCCAGGTTTGATTCCAGCTAAGGGCACGTGCCTCGGTTTCAGGCTCGGGGGTGCAAGCAGGAGGCGACCATTCCATGTGCTTCTCTCACATCGATATTTCTCTCTCTCCCCCTTCCACACTCTCTGAAAAGCAATGGAAAAAATATCCTTGGGTGAGAATTTTAAAAAATAAAATAAAATTTAAAAATAAATGTCTAACTATTATACTGTACACCTGAAACTAATATAAAATAATATTGAATGTCAACTGTAATTGAAAAAAATTTTATTTATTTATTTTAATATATCTTTATTGATTTCAGAGAGAGGAAAGGAGAGGGAGAGAGAGAGAGAAACATCAATGATGAGCGAGTCATTGATCGAGCCCGCAACCCGGCATGTGCCCTGACTGGGAATCGAACCCTGATCGCCTGGATCCTAGGTCGACACTCAACCGCTGAGCCACGCCAGGTGAAAAAAAATTTTAATTTAAAAATTAAATATCTTCACAGCTCATGCCCTTTCCGAGAGGCCCATCTACATAACTCTACCACACACCTCATGCCATAAATCTTATCTCGCCCCTTCTGAGACCCTGACCCACCCGCCAGTCAGCCCCTTACACTGCCCGTGAGTTCCGGGGGCCCAGGCCTCGGGCCACTCTCCTGCTGTGCAAAGGCTTCCTCATGAGCTGTCAAATCTCGGGGCGCCTCTGCATCAGCCCTTCCGGCTGGTGCCAGCGTCACGTAAACCACTCCACAGACTTGCTCTTGCCTTTTCCTCCTTTGTTCACCAACCGTCAGGACTCCTGGTGACATCATTAGGGCGAAGGACAGGCAGTCAAGCAGGTACCCCGGGCGTCGGAGCCACCTGTCCCTGCAGCTTATCTGTGCTTTCCAGGTCTTACGTCTCAGTCCTGAACATACCATTTTCATCTAACATAGGGATGCTTCGTGGCAGGGTCAGGTAATAGTCAATTGATGGGAAATTCCAATCTCATGAATTTATTTTTTCAAATGATTATTACAATTAATATTCCTACTAATTCTAATATTTGAAGTCTTTGAAAGTCTGAATCTCTGGTCTGTGGTTTCTGCTGGCTTTAATTCATGGTGCCTTATTGCCTTGTGTGGTTTGTGATTTGGAGCTCCGATCTATGCATTTTTCTTGGAATTTTATCTGAGTAAATTAATTGAGTCCTGACTTAAAGATCTACCTATCTCTTCATTTACTTCTGTCAGACATCTTTGACACTACTAGTTTGGGATAACTTTAACCTAAATCATCTGCTGGATTTTCCCCCCAGACCATCCATATACCATGAGTTCAGGCTGAGAGACTATGTGAGAACCAGCTTGCGGTTGTAAGTTCTTAGTGGAGATTTTTATTTTCTACATCCTCAGTGCAAAGGTTTAAGCCAGGCAATTGTCCTTGAAACATTGGGCGAAGGAGTGTTGTGCCTGTTTCATCCTTACACAGCATATGTAATCCTTTCGGGTCTGAGATTTGTGCAGGGCCCTCCTCTCAGACTTGCAGCTTTTCAGACCCTAGGCCCTGTCTCCTCTCCCCTGGCCCCCAAGCCAC